AGTTGCCTAATAATTATGCACAGTAATAGTCACCTGCACACACAGATATCCCCCTAAAATAGCTAAAACTAAAAACAAACTAAAAACTACTTTCAAAAACATTCAGCTTTGATATTAACGAGTTTTTGGGTTCATTGAGAACATGGTTGTTGTTCAATAATAAAATTATTCCTCAAAAATACAACTTGCCTAATAATTCTGCACTCCCTGTAGTATAATGTGATCACTGTTTTTGTCCTTGTCACATGACCTGTAAATAGTGTCTCTGTATGTTTTTACTAACTTGTGTTTAACACCAACCTGCCGGAGGGTCTGCAGATGGAAATTAGCCTAAGGCTATAATCTGGCATATTTACATTTGTTAAAATGTTCATTAATATGTATTGTCCCTCTTTCTAAAAAATAAATAAATAAAATAAATATTTAATTGGGATCACATGCACTGTTAGTGCAGAAAGCCTTTACCTGTGACAGTAACAACGATGTACTGTGGAGTGCTCTGAGCATTTCCTGACTGCGTGGGGGAGCCCTGGATCTCTGCAGTCACATACTGCGTCTGAGCTGGCTGGGCTTGCACTGTGGACTGGGTCTGACTAGCAGCGGGCTTTTGGGTGGTGATGGAAGCGGCTTGCTCTGTGGGAGTAGTTTGGCCTGTGGGTGTGACCACAGAGGGAGCAGCCACAGTAGTCTGAATCTCAGCCAAAAATTGTGGGGCAGTTACAGGGGTGGAGCTGGCATCAGGTTGACCCGTTGTCACAGTGACAGCAGTCCCCTGAGTTTGGGCCGCTGGCTGGATCTCACCTACGTAGCCTGTAGTGGCCATTACAAGAGCAGGGAATCAGGCTGGGGAAAAAAGAAAACAAGACAACAAGTTACACATTTTCAACCTAAGCTGTTTGTTTTCAAACTACAGGGTGGGCCATTTAAATGGATACATCGTAATAACATGGGAATGGTTGGTGATATTAAAGTCCTGCTTGTGGTACATTAGTATATGTGAGGGGGCAAACTCCTCAAGATGGGTGGTGACCATGGTGGCCATTTAGAAGTCGGCCATCTTGGATAATACTTTTGTTTTTTCAATAGGAAGAGGGCCATGTGACACATCAAACTTATTGGTAATGTCACAAGAAAAACAATGGTGTGCTTGGTTTCAACGTAACTTTATTCTTTCATGAGTTATTTACAAGTTTCTCTTTGTTCACAGCCATTGACATGTCGAAGAGGTTAACACGTGAGGAGCGGATCGAAATTGTGTTGATATCTGGTGAACGCAGTAACCGGGTCATTGCAGCAGATTTCAATGCAAGACACCCTACGAGACCACCCATCTCCCATGCTACAGTTAGCAAACTGCTTGCTAAGTTTCGTGAAACTGGTTCAGTGTTGGATTTGCCAAAATGTGGACGCAAGAAAACTGTCACTAATGAAGAAACATCAGTGGCTCTCCTAGCTTCATTCAGCGAGAGCTCACAGTGTAGCACTCGCCGCATGTCACTGGAGAGTGGCATTAGTCGAACATCCCTTCGGCAGATATTAGCTACTCACAAATGGCACCCTTACAAACTCCAGCTACTGCAGCAGCTCAACAAGGATGACCCAGATCAGCACACAGAATTTGCAGAATGGGCAAAACAAAAATTGGAACAGGACCCTCAGTTCACGCAGAAGATTTTGTTCAGTGATGAGGCAAACTTTTATGTGAATGGTGAAGTTAACAAACAAAACCACCGCTAATGGTCTGACACTAACCCACATTGGATGGATCCCTCCAAAACTGTTGGAACAATAAAAGTGATGGTTTGGTGTGGTATATGGGGCACAAAGATAGTGGGTCCATTCTTCATCAATGGAAACCTCAAAGCCACTGGATATTTGAAATTGCTACATGATGATGTGCTTCCCTCTTTATGCACTGAAGCTGGCACGTTCCCTGAGTTTTTCCAGCAAGATGATGCACCACCACATTATGGGTGCCAGGTCCAAGCATTCCTAGATGAACAGTTTCCTGGAAAGTGGATTGGTCGTCGTGGGCCAGTTGAATGGCCCCCAAGGTCTCCCGATCTGACCCCTTCAGACTTTTATCTTTGGGGTCATCTGAAGGCAATTGTCTATGGTGTGAAGATACGAGATGTGCAGCACCTGAAGCTTCGGATACTGGATGCCTGTGCTGGCATTTCTCCTGCCGTGTTGCAATCAGTGTGTGAAGAGTGGGAGAAGAGGGTTGCATTGACAATCCAACACAATGGGCAGCACATTGAACACATTTTATAAGTGGTCAGAAACTTGTAAATAACTCATGAAAGAATAAAGTTATGTTGAAACCAAGCACACCATTGTTTTTCTTGTGACATTACCAATAAGTTTGATGTGTCACATGGCCCTCTTCCTATTGAAAAAACAAAAGTTGTATCCAAGATGGCCGACTTCTAAATGGCCACCATGGTCACCACCCATCTTGAGGAGTTTGCCCCCTCACATATAGTAATGTGCCACAAACAGGACTTTAATATCACCAACCATTCCCATGTTATTATGGTGTATCCATATAAATGGCCCACCCTGTAGTAGACAATGCTGTGTTAAAAAAAAAAAAGGCAATGAGGCAAATTTAGTACAACCAAAATATATACATCATAGGTCCCAGTAAAGGTTGCAAATATGTAAACAATCATGAATAAGGAGTCTAACTTGTCAATTGCATAGGTAACATTTAAACAGAAGGTAGGAGGTTAAACTCTATCATAGGAATCAGCATTAGATCACGTCTTTTCTAACAATATTAGCCTGTAATAAGCAGCTCATACACCACACAGATATTTTTACATGCTCATTTCTCGCCTAGATGTAAATGAATGCTCGAGGGGGGTGTCTGAAAGTACTATTGTGGCCAGGGCCTCTCAGTGGTGCAACTCATGAGGGGATGCGGGGGAGGAGCATTGATGGGAACAAGCATTTTGGTGTCTCATTACCTGTAATGTGATCGCACCGCCTTTGATGTACATAGGCATGCCCGTAGAACAGCTAGGGAAAATCCCTTACCAAACTGTATTAACGCTACAGTGCCGTCTATTATTTTGCTTTATGTCATGTACACTGTCACCGTAATCCACATTTTTAATACCATAACACAGATAGTTAACTTCTGGCTGTCAATAATTCAAGTCAAATAAACACAGCAGAAAGAAACATTTGTAACTGAAAATGTGTGTTTTCTTCTTTTCAGTTAGATAGTAGGGAGCTTGTTATGAATCTGAACCTGTAAAGGTGTACACTTAGGAGTCTGCGTCAGTGAACAAAGAGGTGAAAGTGAACTGTAACCTAGAAAGCACCTGCAGAACGCCCTCCTTCGCCACGCCCCTTACGTATTAAATGTCCGCCACCTGCCACAGCTTTCTAAACTTTCCGTTAAAAGACAGAACGGCATTTTAGTCAGCCTTCAATTTATTTAACTGCTCAAAACTAACACAAAACACGTCCCTCTATTAATTTTACAATCCCAAATTGGCCTCCCTTCTATTTTGGAAGGGATGGGGGCTGTCGCTAGCTTTATGCACCATATGTGTGTCTAGTCAGCTAACGGAGAAAAACATAAAGTGCAAACCCATCACTGACTGTACATAATTCACCGTTAACAAGATGAGTGTCCGTTTATAGTCAAACAGACGTTGGCTGCGAGCGGCGGCAAGCACTAGCCTGTCGTGACAGCCACTGATGCTAGCTGTGTAGCGAGATAGCAGGATCAGGAAGCTAACTGGTCTCTACAACAACCGCCATTTTGTACCTTTTGCATTTGACATCGCCATAACAACGGCCTGCTTGGGTATGCATCTATGGCTGCGTCGTCATGGCAGGCGAAATTCAGAGTCACACAGATGTGCAGCAAGCAGGCACAAACTATCGCACACTAGAAAGCCCGACCGGTTATCAGAATGACGGCTAGCTTGCAGGCTAACCCCCAGCTAACACTGGGAGGCAGTTGCCTGTTATGGCTACTGAAACAACAAGGGGGAAAAGCAATAGCAGAATTCAGCTGAAGCGTTAGAGGACATAAAATGCTACAGATCATGTTAAGAGCTTCACCTCTGGTTCCACGTGTGTATTTCCCACTGGCAAAATATCTTCTTTTATTTTTATGGCGGTTTCAGTTGTTGTTGTTGTTGATTCTCGTTGCTGGGTTCTTGTCGCCAGGGCTACCGTGGCTATGGCGCTTCGTCCTCACCAGGGCAACTGTTGCTACCCACCCGCTCCCTTCCCTCCCCCTTTGCTGTTGTGATTGGCTGAGAGCTGCCAAATTGTCTTAAAGTGACAGCTCCAGGAAAATTTTACTACAAAGCCTTCCACGCCCATTTGTGGAAAATCCCAGAGGTGGAGGCTCCCAGTTAAATCCCAGTGAAAGTAATAGAATTGTTTGTAGTTTGTTTTTAAATTGGAATAAAATCAATGCACAGCCTATATGGACTGTCATTTAAATTGATCCATCTGGCTACATTCATTCAGTGACTTACCCAAGGGTCCATTAGTAGCCTACCTGAAGAATGGGCTATTGATGTGTTGTTTTATTTTAATATGTTTCTTCCTTTTCTTTACTCTCCTTTTACAATAATGTAAATATCAGTCCATAACAAGACATTACAAAGTGTTTTACAAATAAATGAATACAAGGCTATATAAAGACAAATTAAAAAGTTTTGAAAACAGAATTAAAAAATAAACAGTGAATTTTGCATTTTTACCTGTCATCACAACACATTACAGGTTATTATATATGTGCATGTGACATATGACTGCATAATAGTGAGCCAAAGGCAAATTTCTTGCCCTAAATTTCATTTAATGTTCTCATCATACAACATAATTTATACATTTTTTCCCACACACCACTGGTTTATTTACTGTGGTCTGTAGCATTTTGATATTGCTCCCTTGACCTCCACAGGTTGCCCCAGCATGACAGTGTTTTAACAAGTGTCATGGTGGATACCTTCCCAAAATGTCATTTTGTTAGCTTTGTATCATCACATTAATTACAAATTCAGCACCCCTTTTGTAATTTCCTAAATGAGTGACCTTTGGCTATGCGGATATACAGATAAGAATGTGTTTTATTTGTCTCTGACTCATAATAAGACTTCTGTGTTATCAGACTTTGGAAATGTCACTGGTCCAGTCTCTCTTCTTCAATTCACCTTTTGGCAAAGAGCTAACAGGATGAGTAATTTCCTGAAGAAAAGGTAAGTTCTACATAAAGAATTTTTACGTAGGTTAACTGTGTCAAAGGTGATGTAATGAACTAGGATTGCAAAAACCTGAATGTATGGCTGTAATATTGTTAAATGTCATCAAGACAATTAAAGGCCACATGCGTCGGCAGAACTAACATGTTAATTCTTTAGGGACCATATTTTTTTACAGTGTGTTGGCATTGTTTTTTAATAATACAGTTTTATATGAATTAAATTGGATTTGTTTGGAAAAAAAATTGAACATGTAAAAGTCATTCAGTTTCCAATGGTCTGTGCAGAAAACTACACAAATATGTGCTATACACTGATTAATAACACTATATGTATTTTTTAAGTGCTAAAGGAGATGTATACATGTGTTTGTAAACTTTTGTTCACATTTGATATACAATATGTATATAAAAATGGTTATAATTAGTATACCAAACAGCAATCAAGTAATCTTGTTATAACAGTCTAATTGTGTTTGTCATTGTCAGTGATCTGTACACAATATGGGTTTTCTGGTCTGGTCATTTTATTATATAGAGGGACAAACATTTGCCTAAACTATTAGATTATAGATTCCTCTAACAAACTCATTAACTATGCCACCTTTGGTCTTCTTTTTGTCTCCATAAAGGTCTCCCACTGTATCTCCTGTTCAGATCTGTTCTTCTCTCAGAGGAGGCCTACATGCGCAGTATGCATCTCCTCCTTTTCAGGGGTTCAAACACCTTTATAAAGCACGCCTGGGTCATCTAAAAAGTCATTGCTTATGCAAAGAGCGAGTTAAACCAAATATTCTCCTCCCACTTCTTGCCTCGCGACTATGTGGAAAGCTGTGGTGCTGGCTGTGTGTCTGCTTGTGGCTGGCGTTCAGCCCATGGATGACCCAGCGTATGGGGTGAAGCTATGTGGCCGCGAGTTCATCCGGGCGGTCATCTTCACCTGCGGGGGTTCACGATGGAGACGGTCACTCAGGAGTTCAGGTAAGCCCGGTGATATTTCACTTTATTTTTTACCTTTTGCAACCACTTTTAAAATTTCTATTTGTGAATCGAGGTGGCTGTGGCTCAGGTGATAGAGCAGGTTTTCTACCAGTTTGAAGGTCGGTGGATTGATTCCTGACTCCTCCAGTCTCAAGTATTGTTGGGCAAGATGCTGAAACTCACGTTGCCCTGATGCATCTGTCGGAGTGTGTGAATGTCAGAAAGCACTCAGGCATAGATAAAAGCTCTATACGAATGAGTGAATGACACTGGTAGTAGAAAGCGCTTTGAGTGTTCAGCTGAGCAGAGACATGCAATGTGCCATCCATGACTATGTAAATAATCTAAACTGGTCTTTTTCTGCTCATTTGTGATCATGCGGAGGTATCCAGAGAAATGATGGAAGGAAATCACCTGAAATTTTAAGTGTAGAATGACTGGCTGGCTGGTTAGAATGGCTGGTTAGCTAGCAATGGATTACATATGATCAGATTACAAAAACCGAGTGACTCCTACTTAATTTTTAGCTTTTTATTATAATTAATGGTAGTATTATTATAGTTGTTGTTCTTGTCTGTTTTTTACCTTATTAACTATAATTTTGTGACTTTTGCATTTCACATCTATCTATCTATCTATCTATCTATCTATCTATCTATCTATCTATCTATCTATCTATCTATCTATCTATCTATCTATCTATCTATCTAT